AAATGTATAAATCACAGGATCCCAGATCACACAGTGAGGCTCATTTTATTATATCCTGGGGAAGAAAACTAATTCATGAAGTTCAAACATCAAACTCTGATGGCATCCAGAGGGCCCCATCTAGCAACTACGACAGTTGTGACCATTTGGTAGATGACACAGATATAGATAATATAGACAGAGAGAGAGGTAGATGCTATATAAATATAAAGAGTTGGTTGGCAATTTTCTGATTCTGACACACAATTCCTAAGAGATCGAAAACACATACTCCCCTTCTTCTATATTTCCCAAAATATTCAGTTCACTGTGTGTTGCAAATGTATAATAAAAGCTCTTGACTAGAAGGAATGAGTGGATGCGACATTTACCTAGGTAGAGTCAGCCAACGTTGAAACCAAAACAAAATAGAACCAATGAAATCCTGGTACAAGGTGGAGTGATTTTTCTCTCAGCTATGTCTTATGTGATACATATGAGATATAAACATCATGGTCTGCTTGAGACATGTTCAGTGGAGACCAGAGATAAGGAACAGATATTTAACATAACTGAGAAAAGTCACTTAAGATTCAAATCTTTTCAGTAGAATAATCTCAAAAATGCATTCCACTTATTAACACGACCTGTGTATATACATGTAGAAGGCTGTACAATCTTTAAAAAGCAAAATATCCAAGTTCATAAAGCCACAGTGGTGAGCAAGGGTTTTCTCTAAGTAATACACTTAGACTTTGAGATTTCAGGCTGTTGGTACTAAGAATATGCTTTTGATGCTGTTTTCTTACTGAATTCCCTATAACTTTCAAAGATTTTGCCTTTTGCCACCTTTTCACAAGAAGCATGCAAACCATTTACAATTTTCTTATGTGGAAACAACCGAGGTACCTGTAGACAGATGACTGGGAAAAGATAATGTATTGGAAGTGCTATGCTGTGCACACTAAATATTAATTAGTCATAAATTAAAGTAAAAAGAAAATATTATATCACTGACAATAAACTACCTCTATGTGAAGTATATTACATTTAGTTAAATAATTTAAATAACCCTTCATGCGTGAAAGTTAAAAGAAAAGTTGGCCTGAATGTAGAATAACTAGGGGAGGGAGAGGAAATAAAGAGAGGCAAGATTTTTTTCACTCTGGTTGTATATATATATATATATATATATATATATATATATATATTGGCATATCAGATTGAGCTCCATTCTTATGCATCCTGAATACACATTAATCAAAATTAAAGAGGGATGACCCTTTGGACAATGAGACCTGGCTCCATCACAATAAATACAATTATGAATCCGAAGCTGGTGAATGCTACACACTAGCCTTTTCCTATATACCTTCAGTGGTTGCCCTCTGGCATTCTGATGTGTATAAGACCTACCATCATGCTGACACCTCCTAGCCCTTCCAGATACGTAACAGCACTTGCTGTTGGTTTTCCTCCCTCAAGCTCCTCGACTCTGTCTTTTCTCCTCATTTTCACTCATTTAACGGAAATGTTGCTGTTCATAACATGGTTCACATTGCTATAGATCATCAAAGAGCAGGCTTTTTAAGGAAAAATTATGGAACCAAGTATTATAGTTACCAAGCAAGTTGCAAATAAGTTTAATGTTTAATTCTTAAGAAAACTGCAAGAGCCGGGCGGTGGTAGCGCACTCCTTTAATCCCAGCACTTGGGAGGCAGAGGCAGGCGGATCTCTGTGAGTTCAAGACCAGCCTGGTCTACAAGAGCTAGTTCCAGGACAGACTCCAAAACCACAGAGAAACCCTGTCTCGAAAAACCAAAAAAAAAAAAAAAACTGCATTTGAATGATTATATAGAGCTTTACTATAAAACACATTCCTGCTGCCTTCCTCTGTAAATCATTAAAATGATTTTTGGATTTTACTATGATGCTTGAAATCAAATTTTCAAGTTCATAGGGTATTTAAGCTCTCAGTCTCTTTTCATAGATTTATTTGTTCGTTCTTTTTCTTTTTATTTAAAGTAAATTTAAATGGCTGCCCATAGAAAGAAGGCAATTTAGGACTGGCTGGGCATGGTGACATAGGCCTACAGTTCTAACACAAAAGAGGTGTGAGGTCAATCAAAACCAGCCTTGGATATTTAGTAAGAATCACTACTAATGACAATAGCGATAATAGTGATAATGAATAAACCAGATATCTAGGATTTCACATTCTCCTTTTGACATTCTATTCCATGTTCCCAGGTTACCCATTTGATCCCAATCATTTTATTTCCAAGTACCCTTCAAAGGGCAGACACTGAACCAGTTACTCAGAGTTCAAATAATACGAACAGTCTGTTCAAAGATTTAGATGTTAGTAACACACAGGCACGCACACTAGCAGCCCAAAATGCAGCTGAAACTGAAAACTGAGGAAGTGTTTGGAAACTGCGCAAAGTTTCTTTCCGTAAACCACTGTGAGCTTTGGGACAAGCAACACCAATTCAAGAAGCCTTCCCTGAGAGCCTGATGTATGAAGCCAATTGTCAGTAAGATGTTTCTTCCCGCATTCATCCCCAAGGATCACCTCTCTTTTTCTCAATCAATACTGTAATAATTCTAGTTCCTTCCAGCTCCCAGGGTATCACAGAAACTTATGGAAGCAGGGCACAGAGGATTGAAATCATGTATTTCATATTGGTAGGAGAAATGAAAGCTAGGTTCTTTCCCCAAAGCTCCTAATATTTAAACCCTATTTCCCTCCTCAGTATGCTCATTCTTTTTTGGACATGCTTCTTAAAGCTGTGTTGAAGTCCACAGTTTAGTTAGTTAATAAATGAGACTGTGCACTCTATGTCTGGGCACCCCTGTAAAGGTCAACGTCAGCTTTCACTATCAGGCCACATTAGCGTGAGTGGACTCAACTCTGCAGTCTCTCAACCCGCCCCCCCCCCCATCTGAAATCACCTCCTCAGAACACCTCCTTGACCTTAATCCTGTCAGGCCTTTTGAACTCAGCACTTTTTCTTTATCCACACAGCTTCCCCCAAGCAGATTTCCCAGAGCCATTCTTAACTCTTCCGTCACCATGACATCAACTGCCAAGGACCCCTACTTCTTGAGACATCTGAGAGCTATGTTTGCATTTCCATGGCCACTGCCATCACTTCATCCAGAATCTCACAAATTTTAACTTCTTTACAAAGTCCCTAATAAATGGGAAAATGCACAACCATGACCCGCCATCTTCACTAAGTAATCCGCCTTCTGTAATACCTCTAGACTGGTAGTTCTGGACAGTACAGACATCATGATTTCCCACTCGGCTTGTGCAGAACAATCGGTGACCCCTTCTCCGCTGAGCACCACCAGCACAGTAAGAGAAACTCTTTGTGTGTTAGGAGTGTGTGCTCACTAACAGATAGGGTGCTGAACAGCTTTTTCTCATTCTCTCATCTGCGCTTCACAGCAACCCTTAGAAACGATTAGTTCCTTTCTCCACTTCATGAGCTTACCAAGGGCACAGAGTTAGGGTGCAAACCCAGGCGGTCTGGGTCTGGGCTCTAAACACATTGCCCACTCCATCTGGGTCCCTCACTCTCACGTATCTATAGTTACACATCTGTCTATGAGCTTGCCTCTTCCTTCTAATGACAATTGTGTCCTTGCTCAATCCTGACTTAGTAGCCCTCAGTTCCAGAGAGAGATTCTTACCTTTGTTGCAATCCCACAGCTCCTTTTGTTACATCTACTTAACACCTATCTTAAGCCAACAACAAGCACTAACTCCTCCTTCATTCCTCCTGCAATCCTCAAGGAAAATAGACACAGAGAAGCTGAAGCTATCATACACAAAAGATGGAGCCTTGAGGGAATGCCTGGCACTCTACAAACCTTCAAATGCAAGGAGTAAATAGATCACCAGTGCAAGGGAAAAGCCGCTCATTTCTTGTTTTTCTGCCTAGCAGTTATCAGAAGAGGAGAAACAAGGTGAATGAACAAGGCTATGTTCATAGTAGACTTGGAGGTAGACAGAATGCAGAAGCATAGAGGATACCTGCTTGGGCCTTTCCTAGGTAAGGAGAGAAAATCCAGTGGGCACTGACGAAATGCCTATCTGGATAGTATTTGCATGCCTTATCCTTCACCTTAGCATTTAAAGAACACAACTTGATTTTAAAATCCTTCCTTCTTATTCATTCTTGAGCTTAAAAGGGTGCTTGTGGAGATACAATGAACAATAATAAAAAGAACTAAGGTCACAAAGAGCAAGTAAAGACAAGAAACAGCATTTTCAAACAACACTGACACTGAATCTCTTCCTCAGGTACTGATGCCCTACTCACTGCATAGAATTAGCAAGAACCTAATGAAAACCCAGGAGAATGAAAGTGCTATCAGCAGGAATTAATTTTGTATTCAAATTCAGAGATACAAGAAAACCATTCACGGTTTTCAAACAGAGCTGATTTCCCTTGAGGACTCCTTCCCATTATTCCTGGCACAGAGTTCGACCCTCAGCCAGCAGAGAAGAGAAGAACTGTGAGAATCTAGTGCCTACCAAGTAACCATGGCCCCCCACTGTCTCAGTGACCTGCTGCCTAGGGGAACCCCAGGCACAGCATCCCTGGCCTTCCACTAAAAAATGATGATGAAGAAGATGATGATGACTGATGAGGACAATGATAAAGAAGATGTCATGATGACATAAGTAAAACAATACCCTAATGAATAAAACTTGTAAACATTTTTTTTCTTAATATCTTAGGCAAATCCTATTTGGCACGGGATAGGTTTGGCATAAGGAAAAGAGAGTATCAGGGATTTCCTTCCTAGCGTTCAGGAAGTCCTAGCCTAGTTTCCCTTTGCAGTTTCCCAACAAACCCTGGCTTCAAGAAAAAGAGGGGAAATATACAAAATATAAAAATATAATATAAAGACAAGAGTGGAGCCACGACTGAATGTGAAGACCAGTGGAAAGGCAAGTGTGTGAATAGTGTGTCCATGAGTGTTGCTGTGTCCGTCTTCATACCTCTTGATGGATCTCCAGCACGGCAGAAGACTTCCTGGCTGCGGTTACAGCGTGCAGCCTAGAACAGAGGAGAGACAAGGAAATGCATCCAGAGACATCCATCCACGCACTCTTACGTATGCTATCACGTCAGCTTAGCTACCATCACTACCTGTTCGGAGAAGCCTTGTGTAGTAGAGCATAGGTGTTCTCTAGATATATTGTATACATCTATTAAATTTTTTAAAGTTAAAAAAAACTGTATCAAGTGGTAGAAAAACAAGCAAAAACTTGTGGAAAAAAACTATGCACGTAAAGTTTCAGCTTAAATGAGAAGAAAGCTAAAAATCCAGGATATTCGAAATGAAAAAGAAATCTCTTCAGCAAAGCCTTCTACATCCAGAGCGTTTCTTTGCACAAACTCCCTGTGTTGTGAAAGCAGTGATTCATCATGCTCATTCATTTGAACCTGCAGAGGCAACCTGTAAACTCACTTGAAGGGTAAGAGCCATCCCAGAATTTGAGGTATTGGCTGCCCTTGGGCTAATGTACAAGAAGTGTGAAAGACTTTTGTCCTTTACAGCATAGCCCACTGAGTCTGTTGCTTTCTGCCCATGTGACTGAAGTCTCTTTCTCTATCATCAGCCGAAAACAACCTCGTAGGTCTCCAAGGAGGCTGAGGCAAAGAACTGTAACTCTGCCCGCCATTGCAGGCATTTTCCTTTCTCTGCCTCTCTTCCATCAGCTTTCAAAGAGGGCTGTGATGAGAATCACCTGGGAGAGAGATCCAGGCAATTGGCTGAAACTCAGGCCCAGCCTGGGCCGATCTCAGCTGGTGGAGTTCTCAGAGTTCCTGAGGTAACAATCACACCGCCAGCCACAAAAGACTCTATCTCAGCAGCCAAGCGAGGACTGCAGTGCCTTTTCAAACTGGAAACTTCTCTAATGTTTGGAATTCTGGGGTCTTTTTTGTTTGCTATGTGGCTCACTACCTTCTGCCAAACTTCAGGGAAGTCGACAGTGGAAAGTTCAGCATTACTTTTCTAGGACTTTTAAAATTAACTCAAAATTTCTTTTCACAAACTCATATTCTACACAGTAGCTTTTCTGTTGGAATTCAATTTTTCAAAACACATTTCAGATCTCAGAAACAGAAGGAGCAAAAATATCATCTGCTAATCCCATTTCAGTTCACTGACTTGGTCTGAACCACGGAATCACTTCACGTCACCCTAGGAGCCTCTTACCAACAGCAAAGATAAACAGGCACTACTTAATTCTCTCTATTTAAAAGAGAAACTTTGAGGGCTGCCTTCCACCCTTCTGTGATCCTCTGGAGCAGACACTTCTAAAACCGACAGTTCAACACCTCTCCAAAATGGCTCCTGAGAAGGCGCTCCAGCCTGTGGAATCCAAGGTCTCCCCAATGCTTCAGCCCTGACGCTGGCTTCCCCAGTAGAAGAAGGAATGTCAGGGACATAAAACACTCTCAATCACCTTCAGAAAAGCAGTCACTGCATTCTGCATAAATGTTTCATGAGGACAACTAAACCGAGCTATCTCTTGCCTGACTGGGTTTTCTAAACGCTCATGCCCCAAAGTCACTTTCTGTCCCTCTTTCCCTTGCTGAGTGTTGAATATTTATGTGCTGCTCACACTTGTGAGTACATGTGCAAATCACAGTCCAAGGCAAACTTCTGAACTGGGTGAGAAGCGCTTCCAGCCACCTCTGTCACGTTGTCGTTTTTGAGTAAAGAAGTGTCCCGCTACTTTCTCCCAAAATTCTCTGTGAAAATTATTCCATCTACCTGCATCCACAATAAAGAATCAATAGTTGGTAAGGTAAAAGCTTTATAACTTCCTAAAGATATAGATGTTAGCATTTGGACTTAATCATTCGTTTCCAAAGAGAAGACATCAACTATCAACACTCTGACAGGCCACCCACATTTGTCACGCAGGCCTTTCCCATACACCCTTTGGTTCAGTCACTACAACTTCCTGTTGTCAGCTCATCCCAGTCTTTGGCTCTAAGCAACTAATGTACCCCTCAGAAGTTGGACTATTGAAAGCTACTGTCTTAAAGACTAAGTTTCCATCCCAAATTATAGATCTGATCCCTTTGGCAGAGCAACAATGGCAATATTGTCACTAATTTATAAATTTTTATGATTATTTTTATTTGACCATGTACTTAGAGGGTAAAAACAAATTAAAGTTCAAAATGTGGTAAAGCAGAGTATCAGAAGGTAGAATTCCATGTCTTCCTGGTGGTCTATCTCTAATACCCCCCTGTTAAAGAGAAGAAATGTTGAAGAATACATGTCCCCAGGTAATAACTCAAGAGGATCAGAGACCCTGAAGTCTCCCCTGCTTCCTCAGTCTAGACAATGACTTGATATGCATTTTCCATTTTTTACTCAAAGACAGGGTCTGCATAGACACAGAAGACGACCCCGCCCCACAATCCTCGCTATCTCTGTACTCACTTAATATTGGACCTCTAGGGAAAATAGTTGTGGACTTTGAAGGTCTCTTGTACTCTGTGCAGCAGAAACAGCATAGATGAAAAAGACCAGTGTTTAAGGGACAATTCCTACCCTGCTGCCTGTGTAAAGGTGAGTGGCTTCCCAGGCTTAACCTTACTTGAACCCATGTCTTAATGTAACACAGAGAAAGACTAGAACATACCCGAAAGAGCCTGACAGAGAAAACAAAGAGAGGGGAATGGGTTATCTATCATCCTTCTCCCACACTTCTGCCTCAGGCCCTTGATTTTCCCTAAGAGTGTTGATGCCCCAGACAACAGTGGCCAGTAATCTATCACAAGTATTTATGGTTGGGTCAATGCCACATAGAACACTCCTGCACTGATATGGATTTAATCCCCTCAAAAGAAAGTTCACAATCACTGATACAGTGATTACTCCAAAATGCACAGGATCAAAACCTAGAATGCCTCTTGATACCTGTCCGTTATCCAGCCCATATACATCTGATGACTTGGGTTCAGAAATTTTGATGATCTGAGAACAAAATCCTCCTAACCCAGCTCCTCGGGAACTTAGTTCCTCCCCAAGTGTCAGCTTAAAGTGCCATAGCTTTTTAAGACAAAGAAAATACAATTCATCTCCAACTACTGAAGTTTACCTAAAGTCTTCCAAAGATTTCTTCTTCGTTGCTCTCAAACCACCGGTCTGGCAGCAGGCAAATCTGTAATCAATGACCTGGTAGATGATCGGATTGTACATCGCTGCAGACTTGGCAAGGAGAGTGGGCACCACAGAGAGCTGTATGGGAATGGAGTCTGGCCTTCCAAAAGCAGACCACACGGAGACCACTGCATAGGGAATCCAGGCAATCAGGAAGCCAGCACAAATCAGCATTGCCACCTGACACAGGGAAAATGAGAGACAGTGGGATCAAGAGAATTCATAAACAATCCAAAGTGTTGTGACAGGCCTAAAGGAGGGGCAAGTCCTTCGTCCCAAAAAAAGTCTCGTTTTGATCACAGAGATTGCGTTCCATTGACTTCTGAGAAGTTGGCACAATCCTTATCCCATTTGCCACATCCTGTCTACTCTCCACTTTAAAATTCCAATGCCCTCAAAAAGACCCAAAATATAACCCTATAATAGTGTCAGATTCTGCCTACATTGGGGCAAGAGATCATAATAAAATGATACCAGTTCTCCTGAGCTTGCCAGAGTCCTCAACCCACGTTCTCTTGCAGACCTAACAGAAAATAAGTCCATCTTGATGAACTCTTAAATCATCTCCACTGGCCTCGGGAAACTGAGAAGTGTTGTCCTAATTTAAAATTCTAATTTGCACTTTCTTCAGAGATTTTCACTAAATGTTGACTCTTCTGGTTCAAGTTTTTCACAAGTTAAGAGGCTTGGATCACAGAAGTTTCCCAGATATAAAAGACAAAAAGAGGTTGCGGAGCTTCAGCCAAAGCAACATAGAAAGTTTTCTCTCATGAAATTAAAATAATCTCTTAATATTTTCAGACCACAGAATAATTGGAAATACAGTTTAAAACACCCTCATAAGTTTTCACCTTGCCAAACTCAGTCCTTTTAGGTATAACCCTAACTAGTACCCTACAGCTGCTGATCCTAATAGGTATCTTAGTTCAGGGGAGCAAACAGTTTTGGCAAACGCTTTGGACAAGACCCTAAACATGCCCCAGTTCCTGAGTGGTCTTCTAGAGTATAAATAATAGCAGAGCACAGCTGGATATGGTTTTGGTGTCAGCACGGAGGAGAACAAGTTTGTTTCTTATTGGAATAAGTAAGAGCTTCATGGAGTATGTTGTACAGCCTCTGCACTTGGGCAAGGTGAAGGGATAGCAGCAAGAGAAGCTGCAGGGAAGGCACCCCATGTATGAGTGGAATCTGTCCATGTACAAATGAGAGAGCCACAGAGATATGGACAAGCTGCTCAGGGAGGTAAGGCTAGGAGCAGAGAGAATACATGTGTGTTCAGGGTTTTGTAAAAACATATTGCTGAGTTCTCTCTTACTGCCATGTGCTCTGTAGCTTGCAGAGGTTTATGAACAGAAACATGGAAGATTAGCCCACATGAAGAAATTGCCTGGAGAAAACAGCGAATAGACAGACCACTATCCATTCAGCCAACAAGTAGTATTGAGAGTCTGTTTCGTGTACAGGACACAGGAAGGACAAGCAGACACATCCCTGCCCACCTAGAATTTCCACTCTAACCAGATTAGTTTAGACAAATGTCAAACAGAAATAAAAAGGTTTTCAGTGAGACTACTAACCCTAGGAAATGAAGTCCAGGGTCGTTTTTTTTTTATTTTATTTTATTTTAAGTGGCCTATTTCGGAACCTATGTAAAAGAGAGCATCACTAACTTCTAAATGTCCTTACGCTGTTGTTCTTCCAGTGAGCTAAATAATAAAGCTGAACCTAAATCAGCACTTGAGCGTGCTTTTCCTTTCGTTGGTCTGCATTCATTTTAATTTTCCTGCTGTATCTTCAGCTTTAGAATTCTTGGCATCTCTCTCCCTAGCTTCGTGAAGTTGACATAACAGGTAGAGCATCACTCAAACCTGACTAATAGTCGTGCTAAACCCACTGACTACAGAGACAGGAATGAGAGATCTAGCTTTCCTCACTTTTCCTTGAGAGCTTCCTCAGAACTTGGGAAGATGAAAGAACGGTATGAACAAGGGTGTCGTTGTGTCTTCCTCCCATCATTTGACCTAAAAAGACAACAACCGTTCCTGATATCCTGGTCATGATGTGCTCCGAAGAGGTGTGAGACCTAGCATGCTGTACAAACATGTTAAATTACGTATAGATGCTCTTTTTTTTAAGTGGCACAGCTGGGTGCTATTCTCCGTAATAAAGCTTGTGTTTGTGTGTCTTCTATGAGCACACACATATGCATGTGCATTTCCATGTGAATTAGTAGGAGCCTGACTGTTATACACAGGGAATGATCCAAAACTTGTCTGTCTGTGACCTAAAGAGCGGCATGAGTGTGAGATGTGTTGCCATGGAAACCTACCTTTGCAAGATATGTAAGAACGAAGCATGAGGCTGAGTTTAGGGATAGGACACTTGCTTAGCAAGTGTTCCATCTCCATCCCCAGAAACACACACACACACACACGAGAGAGAGAGAGAGAGCGAGAGAGAGAGAGAGAGACAGACAGACAGATTGGAAAATATATTCTAAATTCTGGGGTTGCAGAATTTAGAATATTTCACTCAAGAATTTCAAGGCTCAGGAGGCTCAAGAGACAGAGACAGGGTCACGGGTCAAAGAGAGCAGCCTGTGCTTCCAAAGAACTCAAGTTCAGTTCCCAGCGCTCACAACCACTCGACAGTCCAGCTCCAGAGAATCCAGAGCCTCCTGTGGCCACGGGAGGTACCTGTGCTCACCTGCGCATATCCGCACACAGATATACACACATACACATGATTTAAAAATAATAAATCTTCAAAAAAGGAATTTCAAGACTCATCTTCAACACTAATGGCAGGCAAGAAACTTCTCCGCAATACTCAGTTTGTTCGACTCTACAGAGAACGAGAATCCCCAATAGATGAACCAAAGGAGCCAGGACTTGATCGAAAGCCCTGCAATAATGCTTCAGCTATTAAGCTGAATCTTTTTCTCTTCCATGTCCAACACTTCTAGCCCGGTCTGACTAACACACACCCTCTATTTCTCTTTCTGAGCTCGCTTTTCCATCATCCCACAGAAACCTACCCAGAAGTCCTTTCTCTCTGATTTAGTGTGACTTTTGTTTCTAAAGAGTGGATGCCCCAAGGTTCCCAGTAAGGCCCCTTTTTTCCTAAAAACACTAGCTACAATAATAAAGCTTGTGTTAGCAGCTGTAAAGCCCCATCTTTGGTTCTAGGGTGAGTCACAGGGTGATCTTACGCCATCTTGAAAGCCATTGTCTGTACCACTGCCAAAGCCATTGACAAAAAACAGGTTAGCACAAATCCCATCCTATTTTCTACTTTTATGGGAATTCAGTAGGAACAGGGAAGGTTTTTAACATTCGTGCTATGTTTTCTTTTCTTAAAAGATGCAGAAGACTTGGATACACTGTGTTGTTTTGTTTTGTTAACACAGCCAGTTAAGTACTGTGGGGCTTCTGGCTTCAGAATAAAACACTATCATTAGAATCAAGTCTAAAACAAAAAGAAGGGGCGAAGGTGAGAGGTGTGGAAAGAAAAGCACATGTGCGTGGGTGAAAAGTCAAAGCCAGGCACATCCATTTCCGTTGACCTCGTTTTAAATTATATTGCACAGAATGTCAATCATTCAGGTAGTAAATCTGGGCCAGCGAAATAAGTCCCAGAGTAAAGGTGCTTGCCACCAAGCCAGACAACCTGGGTTTGATCCCAGAAACTCAAGTGGGAGAAGGAGAGAAGCCATTCCTGAAAGCTGTCTTTTGACATCCATTCATGCAATGTGACAAACATGGGCACAAACACACCAAAGGGAAAAGAAACTAAATTAATTAATGTTTAGGCTTCTATCTATCATGCACTTTCTGAAACCTTCGTGACATTTTCTCAGTCCAATTGGACTGGGCTTCAACTTTTCCTGAGTTCATTCCTTATTTTACCCAATTCAATCTCACTCCAGCTTCCCGACATTTACTCCCCAGGTATCCCCAGTACCCCTCGCTCTTCCTAGGCTGTTTATTTTTTAATGACTTCATCCCCATCGCCGTTTCTTGGTTCACTGACAAAGCACTAAAAGCTCTGGTTCTTAAATTAGAACAGTTTTGTGGGAGGCAATTCACAGAATTCATGTTTAGCTTGTACAAAAGAATCACACATCTGCAGCTCGGTTCATTTTAAATAAGTCTTGCTGCAAAAGACCCAAGGACGCCAGTATTCCCCAGCTCTGGTTCAGGGTGGCAGCAAGTATTACCAAGTAATGGTGCCCACATATGTTCAGTTCTACTAAGTTAACTAACTAGTTAACATTGTCTTAAGATGAGGGGCTGAGCTTAAAGATTTAAAGCTATCCATGATTCTGAATTATCAGAGCAGGCAACAGTTCTAAGGAGGGTGGCTCCCTCCTCTTGGTGTGAGGGACATGGTAGAAGGATGCGGGGTCTTTGGCTGTGAGATACTGTGTCTCTCCATGGTCCCAATCCTATTTAGCTCCACTGTCTCTCAGAAGAACAAAACTCTGCTGCTCTATGCACAGCCATTTCAGGAGTCCAGTTCCTCCCACCAAGCTCCTCTGCCCAGATCTGAGTCAGGCTCAGCTGCACGTGTCCTTGAATAATGAAATCAATGGGCGGAGGCTATAGGATTGATGTGAAAGGAAAAGCATGAAGGAAGGAAAGGAGACAGAACGAACCCTCCATCCATGTTTGAGTTACATCACCAAGAAAGTGATAGCAATGTGAATTTGATGGCTGAGGTGAAATCAGTGTGCCAAGAGAAAGGTAGTAGAGGGTCCTGCCCACTGCCGGACACTGTGTAATTGACCTATGTATGGGATGGATGAAAAGACCGAGATATATTATCATAGATATATTAGCAAGTACATAGATCTGCTCACAACTAATTAAAATTAGATTAAAAGACAGTAATGCCATTTCTGGGACAGCTGCCTTCCATGTGTGAGTATGCCTGTCACTAAGTGATACTACCAAAATGCAGAAAAGTAAAAGGCCAGTACGGAGGCATGCCAGTGACCCTAGCACTCAGGAGGCAGAGGCAGGAGGATGACCATGAGTTCAAGGCCAATATTTTTTCAGAATGAGTTCCAGGACAGCCTATACTATAGAGTATATTATTGAAGAAAAAAGTAGAAAGTATAAAGGGTGAAGGGAAGGGGAAGAAATAAGTAGGAAGATGGGGACCCTGACTGCGGCCATAGCTTTTTGTACCTCAGTTCCCTCGCACACGTGTAAAACCAAGAGAAAGGATCCCTGGGCTCTCAGGCCATCTTCTAAGGGCTCAGGTCATCCAACAACCTAACATGTCTGCTTTGAGCTCCTTTTGTTTACCCACAGAGTGACAGCTGAGGTCAACTGTCTCACACCCTCTTCCACAAACTTGCAAAGAAACTTTTCTGGAGTCTTTGGGGGGGCCTGCCATCTGTTAGCCCTGGCTGCAATCCAGGCAGAAAATATGAGCTCATGCTTAAGAAAAAAAAATTCCACACTTTCCAGCTGCAATTTTTTCAAACCTTAAAAATACCGCTACTCTAAAAACAAGCAAAACCCAAGACCGAAAGAGAGGAGGCAAATTAGGTCGCTCCTCCTCCTGCTCATCTGTGTTTGGGAGTTTAAGTCTATAACTGAAGATGATGCCCCCAGACTAAGCCATGGCCTGACCTAATGAACACGAGATAGTTTGTAAGGGCCTGATCAACAGAGGAAGGGACATGGTGGAGATGTGGTCGTTATAGGTGAACCAAGCTCCTTAGATGGGACACTGTTGCCAACAGGAAAACAAACAGCTACAGGACCCAACTAGAATTACTTCGACAACTGCAACAGGCCTTGAAATGAGCCAAAATGTATAACCAAATGGGCAGAATCTCAGTGTTTTGAAGTTAATGACAATGCCATTGGACTTGCCGTTCCTTCTCTCTCTGTCCCACACCTGTACACAGATGTGAAAAGCTAAGGCCTTATATGTTGCATGGTTTGCCCGAGATGGGTCAGACTGGAGTCTGGGTTGTAGGTTATAGCACTGAGTTCTGCTGAGTGGAGTAGAAATTATCAAAAGGTGTAGATCTGGGCAGGAACCTGGCCCTGAGACTCAGGAAGGGATGGCACTCAGGCCCCGGCCAACGAGTGGTTCTGATTAGAACACACCACCTTGGATGAGGGAAACTCTGGCCCTGGGTGTGCCGTTACCACAACCTGATGCACATGAGAATGGCGGGTGACAGGAGTATAGCTGTTGGCTTTTTCTACACTTCTGACTCACATAGGTAGCTCTCACGCTTGCTCTTCCAAAACAATTAAAAATGTTGGTGATTTCTCAGAACAGGATTCAAATACTGATGACCAAAAATCAATAAGAAATGTTAACAGTGTCTATCCTCTTGTGGGACAAGTGGGAATATTGGAAATAACAAGGACTTTGAAATTCTTTTTTTTATTATTATGTCTCTCTGGCCTAGTTTTTCTTTCCTTCAGCAAATAGTTACTAAGCACTTAGCATGCTAGAGGCAATGTGCTGGGTTCTGGGGACAGGAAGTGTTGGAAGGATGTGGTTTCCCTGTAGGTCCTATTGACTGGTAGTAAAGAAGGGCATCGAACACACACCACAAGAGGAGTTTACAATTGCAAATTAATTAAAAATTTGACAATTCCCATGAAGTAATCATAGTAGTTCAGTAAAACATTCAGACAGGAAGACCTTAATTCCATTTTTAAAACCTTTTTCTGAGAAGTGGCCTGTAACCTTGGGAAAGCTAAAGAGAACAAAGAGAAAGAACTAATTGGTTTTAAATAGAGCAAGTGCTTCTACTAACAGCCCTTGGCATCACGTAGGGAGTCCTCTGAACCCGATACCTTACTGATCAATGGGTTAATCAAGGAAACAAGCCACCTGAGAAAAACTGAATTCATAGCTAGAGTTTTGGTTTTGTTCTGTTTTTTTCTCAAGAAAAGGGAAAGAATGTAGTGAAAAGTCCCAAAGAAAGAGATGCTCAAGCCAGAAGTCAAAGAACCACTTCACAGTTAGCAAGGTAATTAGGTCGCCTTCATGATGTATTCAATGGAGGCACCATGGTTACCATCTAGCAAGTGCCAGAGTGCAGAATGCAGACCCTAACAGATTGCAATGCATGTCTGTACCTCATTCATCCTTCTACAAAGACAGAGAGATAAATGTTCGGCTCAGTGTGACAGGTGCCACTAAAGGAAACATGCCAAATGTCCTGGTGCCCTACAGTAGGGAACTTAAACTCTCTAGGACAGTTGAGGAGGAGTGTTTAATAATAGCGAAAGGGATGGAAAGAGAAATCCAGAGTCTGGATTAACTACAGGTCTGGATAGAATAGCTGATCAGTGTACCTTAAAGAACAAATCCGGGGTGCCAAGGTATTTGGCACAATAATGTTTGAAAAATTCGTGTGTCCTTTCTAACATTATGTCCAGTCACAGCACTGCCCCCCTTATTAGAGGAGCTACAAGAGGTTCAATGCACTGGGCGAATAATTTTATCAGAAGAAATATTTGCCCCATGCAACAACTAAGCATTCATTTTTAGGTATCTCAGTATCAAAATAGAATTTTAAGTTAGTTAAGCATGATAGAGTATGGCTATAATTCTAGTACCTGGGATGTGGAGACAGAAGGATTGCGAGTTCAAGGCCAGCCTCAGCTACATGGTGACGTTAAAGGCAACCTGGGCTACATGAGATAGTGAAGAAGAAAAAAAGGAAGGGAGGGAGGGAGGGAAGGAAGGAAGAGGGAAGGAAGAAAGGAAGGAAACTTGAAACCCACATGAAGGTAAAAAATAGTTGAGAATAAAGGCTTTTCATTTTTTTACAGTGAAAAACCATTGAGTGTCCACAGCCAGGGGCCTAAGTGATGCTGAGAATGCACAAGAAAGTACACACTAGTTTTCCACCCCAATAGATGAAATGTCTGTAGTCCAAAGACAAGAAAGGACCTAGAAAGGGTGAGAACAAGTCCTGAACTGGCCTTTCTGAGCTGAGTGCCACAGATCAGAGCTGCAGAGAAAAGCCACAGGGCCCTTTGCATGTGTGAGGAGGTACAAACCGAAAACACATGCCTTCCTCATCAAGGTCTTAGCCACGTCCAAAGTGTCCACTGTATGGGTTGCAGAGGAGAGGGAAGCAGAATTGAGACACTGCTTACAGAGGCCTTGGGATTAGGATAAAGAACATGCAGTGTGCTACAGAGGAAGAACAGAAGGAATTAGATACCTCAACAGAGTCAGGACAATGAACAGCAAAAACCTGGCTGGATCTCCAACCAACTGGGACCGTGACACTTTAAAGACCTCTGATAGGCAGCTCTGAGTAGAGTCGGAGAGAGCCTGTGCTACTGAACTTACCCTTATTGGCCAATAATAAACCGTGCTTCAGAAAGTCGAATGTATTTAGAAAGGTGAGGTTAAGTTGAGCCACAGAACCAGAGAGTGCAAACAGATTGTGCATTGTGTAAACAATACGCATATGTTTAGACAAATACACCCTCTACTTCCATTTGTAGTATGTGGGAGTCGGAAAAACCATCAACAAAAAAATAATTAGAGAAGCTACCAGGCTTGTAGACAGATGCCATTTCAAGTTTTCTAGATGAAATCAGACCAAAAGAGGACAGATCAAGATAACAACCCAGCTAGAACTACTTAAATAAATTTATTTTGACGATAAAATCTTGGCCGGCAGCCTTGAAGTTACACACTTCTAGATCATCGTGGCGAGTGGGAGCTCTGAATTAGTGAGAAGCTGAGCAGTCCTGAGCAGGAGCTGAAGGAAGGGAAAGACAGATAAGGGCCCTGGGAGCTTCTTCTTCTTCTTCCTTCAGTAGAAATGTGTTGGAATTGGTGTCAGTGTATAACGGATATCAGGGAGGTTCAATGCTTTTCTTTCTAGGTTTATTTTTATTTTATGTGTGTGGGTGTTTGCCTTCATGTCTGCTCAGCTTGAGCATGTATGGTGCCTGAGGAGGCAGAAGAGGGTGTCCGGTGAGTTGTAGGCTGCCGTGTGGGTCCTGGAGGCCAAACCTGGTTCCCCTGAAGAAACGGTGCTCCTAACTGCTGAGCCGTCCCTCCAGACCCAGGTGATACTATTCTTGTTACACAGTGAGAAAATGGACTCAAAGGAGCTGGGTGTTAAAGCACAAAAATGGACTCAACAAATTGTTTTTACTCATTTGTCAATGGGTGTGTGCATTTGTGTGTGTGTGTGTGTGTGTGTGTGTGTGTGTGTGTGTGTGTGTATCTCTGTGTGTGACAATAATCATCAAGGAATGGAAGGCTATCAACTTGAGAGTGACAGGGGATATGAGAGGATTGGAGGGAAGGGACATGGTAGAGACTGGAGGAAAAAGAGAAAGGGAAATAATATAATTATATATTTTATTTATATGTAAAAAATTAACCAATCCATGAATTAAATCTAAAGAGAAACTAGGTGTCTCGTGCCAGGTTACAAAGGGGAATGGGTAGGATGGAATCCAAACCCTCATCCGTTGTCAAATTCCACATTCTTTCCCTTTACTACCACATGTAAAGAGCCACCAGCTGCATCCTCTCACCTTTACCATAATATCCAACCATTTCAGAAGCAATCTGATAAGCTTCTCCAGCAGACAGTGTGGATGGTAGGAAGTCCTTAAAATGCCCACCAGAGTCCAGCAAAATGGTATGAGCTCTAAAGTATCTTATGTCATGATTTCTATAAATGTATCTAGGTAGGTAGGTAGGTAGGTAGGTAGGTAGGTAGGTGGGTGGGTAGGTAGATGATCGATAGAGATAGATAGATAGATAGATAGATAGATAGATAGATAGACAGACAGACAGACAGACAGACAGACAGACAGAGACACGTATAGAGAAGACAATCAATAGGGATTCTAGGTTTTCCTGGTCCCAGCCGTCCCCATGCCTCTCACCCTCTGACCTTTGACTTCCCATCTGTAAAGTGATTGCAGTTACCTTGGTCAGCTTCACCTCCAGCACATGGCTGCTATGAATCCGACTGTCGAAATGAGCTACCTCTTTGGACGACGACTTCACCTTGGCAATGATCTTCACATACGAGAAGACAATCACAGCCGTTGGGAGCAGGAGGCAGAAGAAGAGGATGCTCAGGATGAACACCTGGCCCCCACCTGAAGCCTGGGCCAGCCACCAATCCAGAGTGCACGAGGTTCCGAAGGGTTCGGGTGCATAGTCCCCCAGGCCCACCAAGGGCATGGTGGTCCAGAAGGAGGCGTATGCCCAGATGACTGCCAGGCAGATGTAAGCATGTTTTCTCTTCAGCCAGACCCCTGGAGGTGGAAAAAAAAGCATTACCACACAGAACCTGCCCGACACCCGTGTACCTCCCCTGGACATGTCAAATTCCATCTCCAAAGATTCATTCCACTGAATTCTGGGAGACGTGGACAGATAATTGAAGCCTGGGGGAGAGCGAAGTCAAGGGAGGGAAAGTTCCAGAGCTGGAGCCTTTGTCCAGGAGGATGCAATTTGAAGAGAACTCACAGGGACAGTTTTCTCTAGGCACCTAGGAGCTTCCGGAGGGAGAAGTGACACAGAGGGAGGGGGAAGCGGGCAGCCAAAGGAGGAAAGGACGCTGAAGACAATGGAGGAGCTTGGGAAGACGGCTTGAGAGTATGTCAGGAAGTGGTCCAAGAAGTGAAAGGAGCATCCTTCCCAGGAGGTGAGAAATCATAAAGGATTGGCTGTGTCTTTCAAACACCCTTATTCCTAAAACCTTCTGTGTGTCTGTACCCCTTGTTTACGTAAAAACTGGCTGCGTGGGGTTGGTGGGTCCTGACCCTGTGTTGTGGCATGGAGGAGGGTGACTATGCTTAGAAATTCATGCAGTTTCTTTTTCCATGTTATTCACGGGACAGTCAAGCACACACAGCCGTGGTGGGAGAACAGCAGACAATCTGATTAGGCACACATGCTGCAAAGGTAACTCTGAAAAAAACATCTTCAAGAAGGTTGTGGGGGCAAAGCTCCGTGTAAGGATACTAGTTTCTTAACCAAAAGGGAATTCCAAGAGGAAGAAATGCTGCCGTAATTTAACATAAGTCGTTAAAAAGAAGTAGTGAAGGACCAGCGATCATATTCCAAAGTTCAACACAGCCACCAAAGCCAGATTAGCATCAGTCACCATGGAAGTGTTCTCTGGCCCTCCCTTGTCACACTGGAAGGAGGGCCAGGGGGTGGCTCCTTGCTGCCTTGGGGGCACAGTAGCAGGGGAGAAATACAGAAACACGTGGAGCAAAGCTAAATGATCCCTTCCACACGCACTCAAGTCTGCTTCTGCTCTGAGCGAGAGAGATGTGAGTCCCTAAGACCACAGTTCTTCGGAGGGTAGTGTCTCATGTCACCTTTCTGAAGGCCCACCGCCCTGAACAGCAAGGGAAGTTGTGCTGATGCAGAGCTTATGGGTTTGTTGTTGGTTTCTTTGTTTTCTTGTTCGCTTTGTGCCTGAGTCTCTAGCCCAGGCTGTTCTCAAACTGGCTGTGGAGCTGAGGATGTCCTTGGACTTCTGATCCTCCTGCCTCCTTCTCCCAAGAACTGGAATTACAAGTGTATGTTCTCACTGTGCCTAGTATATACGGTGCTGGGGGTAGAACCCGGGCACTGTGCATGCCAGGCCAGCACTCTGCCAACTGAGCTGTCTCCCCAGTCTTTGCTTAAAGGTTTTGATGAAGTTTAAAGCAAATGAAATAATGTCGGCTTTGCAAGATATACACATGAACATGAACATCTACTCCTGTGTGCGTGTGTCTTGTCACTAAGAAAAACATAGAACCAATTGTTGCTATGCTCAGTTGTCTGCGTTTGCTCGAATACATGCCATTACACACCACGAAGTACACAACTTCCTCAAGCCCAACCCGAGAAGGGTAGCGGTCGGGTAGCCACAAAGGTTTGTCAGCCCTTGATCATCCACGATAACGCATCAAACACCGGCAGAGACCATGAACATATACTCATAAGGATGTGCGGAGGCATACGGATAAAGCATTGAGAGTGGGGGTTACTTAGTGAGGTGCTTTGATACTTACGTTCCAGTATGGAGAAAGGCTGTCAAGTACAGGAAGGAGGAGATTAGTAGATGGGTCTGTGTTGCTCCAGCAGTCAGAACTAGGACCAATGGGTGGAGGTTACTGGGAGGCAGTTTCGTCTCAATATAAGGAATAACATTGTAACAATGAGAGCAGACCAATCAGAGAATGGGCTGCCTTGTGCAAGAGTAAGCTCCCCGTCACTGGTCACTGGAATTGTGCAAGAGGCCAAACGGTCATCTCTCGGGGATAACTGTTTGCAACATTACATGGTGGGAAGGTCTGACGTCCCCAAGTGACTTTTAAAATTCCAGTATGCTAGAGAACACTGTGTGGAGGGTCCAATAGGGAATCAGATCAAATGGTGAGACATCACTGAGGGTCAGCCTTAGAGGAGTCTAGGTAGTATACACGTTTCTCATCCAGTTCCTGCCCTGCCATGATTCTGGTGATGGATAGCATCCTGTCTTTAGTTGATAGCAAGTTTAAACTCAAGATGACATTTTAAAACAGAGATCAAGGTTTAGTCTCCTCAAGTACTGCCAGGAAATTGAACTTTCTATCTTCTTGTCTATAAAATCTATGATTTTATTAAAACTTAAGAGTTTGTTGTGCTAAAAAAAAAGATTATAGTAAGAGTTAGACTCTGATGTCCTCCAAACTGCCTAGTTTTACATTTTAACCTTATTGGAAATTTTGACTTGGGCTGTTTCTGCTGGAAGCTTCAGGTGTTGATAAAAAGAGATTCAAATTGTAATGGTAAAGACATTTACAACACCATTCTCCTGCCATAGCCTCCCTTAGAGTCTCGGCACTATAAACTGTTTAGGAACCAAAGAAACCTTTCCTTTCCACATCTGTTTGCTGACTGTACTCTGGCCTCTGGCCTTGGCCACTCTACCTAACCGGTTGTCAGTCCAAACAGTTTTACGCGAAGGGAATCAGAACCACTTTCTGAGTAGGTCTGATTCTCAATATTAAAAATAAGAGCCCCAAAATTTTCTCCTTCTTGTTCAGAAAATTCCCAGAAATCCCCATACTGAAGGTACTAAAACTTGAATTAGTACGACAGTCTAATCTTGAAAACACAGAGCTCTGAAGACTCCATTATGGCTGCCTCACCAGCTCCCTTATTAGCTACTCCTCTACCTACCAATACCAGGACAGATCAGCAGAGCGGCATCTCAGTGTGTGTGTCCTTTCAGATAGGGACATCTGTGTGGCTCTCTAAACCTGGAGAACATTCTGGAACTCCCCGTCTCTGAAAATACGGGAGTCTGAGTCCTAAAGGAGAGTCGCAGACAGCCTTCCTTATAATTGCGAAGCTAAATAGGTCATCAGCTAAATACCCCAGACCTGATCATGCTCATGCATTTTTTTTATCTTTTTGCTTTTGTTTCTTGTATGGGGAAATGTGGTAGGCATTTCCATACTTTATACAAAAGAACTGAGATATGTAAAAGCTATAGGCATTATTATAAAAGTAGTACTAAAGGAAACATACATTGATACCCATCAAATAAAAATATAGAGTAAGACAAGGGAGGCTATGAATTGTAGAAGTATTCTTGGTCACTGAAGTTATTAATAATAAATTTATTTACTGTGCAAAGTGTATACAGCTCTAACACTCAAACCATCTAACTTTCACTATCGGGGAACAAGGAACCTTCCAACTTACCGTAAGATAGATAGCAGATCTTCAAATACCGGTCCAGGCTAACAGCAGTCATGGTAATAAGGCTTCCACAGCCAAAGAAAAATCCGGCCCATCCATACCAGCGGCAGCCAAACCAGCCAAACACCCAGCGGTGGCAGAAGCAAGAGATGATGGTGAACGGCTTGCCTACAACTAGAATACCAAGCGGGTGTCAGAGGAAGTTCATCATTGAAACCTCTCCACTTGTTCAGCTGACTAAGCTGTCCCTTCCTCCCCACAGACAATTTCAAGGTGTGAGTATGTGCATACACACACACACACACACACACACACACACTTCACAGAACTGATAGATTAATAAGATTCTGACAGGCCCACCACAACTCAACGATAAAACCCTGTTGTTGAAGACACAACAGGTCTTGATCACGGACACAAAGTGATCAACTTGGAACTGGGCTGAAAGTTTTCTCCACACTGGGTAGTCTTCACAGTGCTTGAAGGTGCCATGAAGTCGGCAGGGAGACAATTGTTTTTAGCAGTCTTGCTCAGCTGTAGATGATATGATACTATGAGTCTACTGTGCAGTAATGAATAATGTCACAACTGTTATAGGAGTTACCAATTGTTTTCTGATTCACTTTGAAGCCTGCTTCAATAGGAGAGTTTACATCTGAAACTGTAAACTCAATAAACAAGCTGATTGCTTAGGAAGTCTTGGACAATGCGAAGAAGCTACTGCTGTTGTCCTGCTAGAGAGGCATGATACACCTTCTAAATAACTGCTTCTGCCCGTAGACTATAATGTCACTGTCAGTGCCAGCCGAACCAATGTCATTTTGCAGTTAACAGTAGTGACTTCAGGGACAACTGGCAAAAGCACTGAGAATAAATGAGTGCTGAATGTTGGGCTGTCACCTCTTTCTCTCTCTCTTTCTCTCTCTCTCTCCCTCTCAGAACAAGACAGAGCAGAAAGAATATAAGAGTCGCAGGAAGGGATGGGGAGTGGTATGAAATGCTGACATCGTGACAAACCTGTCACACTACTGAGCTCACAGCGCATGTGACTACCTGTACAAGAGCTGGACTAGACTATACCAGGCCTATCAACACCCTCTTATAGAAGGAAGGGAAGGGGCTCTCCTTAAAGATGATAGTTCCTTAGTAGTTGCTGAGGAAGGGAAAGGGACGTCCTTCGGTGGTGTGCCCTGGCAGGGCGCCCGTGCTTCTGTAAGCAATCCTAATGAAAGTCACTGAAACACACACACAAAAGACATGGAAGTAGATGAGAGGCTAAAAGGGACGGGATACGGGACTAGAAAGAAAGACACGGGAATGAGAGAGGGTAACGGGAAAGTGAATATTGTAAAAGTGTATTACGTTCATGTATGAAAGTCTCACATTATTTTAAGATGTGCTAATAAAATCTTTTGAAAACACCTTTCAACTATTTTCCATAAACTATTTTTTCATGAATCAAGTTTGAAATAACTCTGAAAAGTTTTCATTCCTTCCCAATGGCCAAAGGACTTATTAAAAAATTCTTTATTACTTTTCTTACTATCATAACTGTTGCAGACTCCACCTCAAGGATCATAAGAGATGGGACTGCAGAGGGCCATGACGTCAACATGGTCACTTTTAATTTTTTATTAAGGTGGTTAATTTAAAAGCTGAGCAAGAAGGACACTCTATTTACCCTGAAATATTTTAGAGAAAATTTCTCATAAAGCAAAATTTTTCTAAATTAGTTTCCCTTCTTGATTGCCTAAGACTTCATTGTTTTTCTCCCATCCAAAATTAGACTCTCAAGCTTGAGTGTTCAACAAGTGCCTGCAAGAGCAAGCATCCTACAGTGACTTCAGGTGTCCGTTCAATGCACCAACCTTATTGGCAGACTTATAACATGGCCTCTGAAACAGCCATACCCAGCAAGTCAAACAATAGCCCAACAAATGATACCTACCAGTCTTTGATGATGAAAATTCAAGATGTTTACAAACTTCCAGTTCAGAAAATATTTGCGCCCAAATATATTGACTATGGACCCCTGCTGCTGTGACCAGCTACTCCACAAATTGTGAAGTATGCCTCATCTAAGTAGGGGGAAAAACTCAAATAAGACTCCTTTGCCTAGTCTTGAGACTTTTTCTCCTGTTGAATTTTCTTGTCCAACCTTAGTATAAGGGCTTTTGCCTTGTCTTGTGTTTTGCTTTGTCATATTTGGCTGTTGTCTCTTGGTGGCCTGCTGTTATCTAAAAGCAGGTAGAAAGGGAGTGGATCTTGAGGAAAGGGGAGGTATGAGGGAGCTCAAGGGAGAGGCAACTACAGTCAGGAAGTGTTGTGTGAGAAAATAATCTATTATCAGAATAAAAAAGACAATAACACTTAGATTTAGAAATTTTAAATGGAAGGAATTCTAAACTGTGTGTAATACACTGGCTTTCCAAGGCTTCCAATAACTCCACTGTGTAGTTTCATGAATAACAAAGAATGAGAGATTTGAATTCACTTGATTTCTATTTATTGTGTTATGTCAAAGATTTATGCAATGTCACAGATTTACAGAATAATGTTAACTAGAAGTAATCTATTTTTTTCCTTTGTGCAACATCAAAGATTTACAGGATACTGTTAAATGGAAGTAATCATAGTAGGCATCCATGTATTGACAAATTTTAAAACAAATATTTGTAATGGTTTTTGTTGGTGTTGTAACTCAGTTGTTGGAGTATTTGCCTGTTGTACATAATGTTCACAGCATACAAATCAGACATTGTGACATCCCTGTAACTGTAGCACTCAGGAAGTAAAGTTAGAGGATTAGAAGTTCAAGAAGTTAAACTCTACTACATAGTGAGTTCACTGCCATCCTGAGCCATATGAGACCCTGACTCAGAAGAAAAGAAGGAAGGAAAGAAGAAAGGAAGGAAGGAAGGAAGGAAGGAAGGAAGGAAGGAAGGAAGTCTTAAATCTTTCATTATTAAATGCTTTCAAATCAAATGACTTCCTTTGTCATACTAGTTTGTTAAGAATTGTTAACCAGAAATACATCTTGTTTTATTAAAAGCTTTACAATTTCACTTCCCATGAAATTTTATGCACTGATTGTTAGTTTTCTGTTCTCGTTGAAACTTTTGGTACAATCGCTCCTGCAGTGTGAGAGTGAACATGGTTTCTAACACCAGATATAACTTCTTACACTCAGACTTAAGCCCTGAAAAGGAGGACTTGGGAGAGGAAAGGGGGAGGTTATCTCTGGGTATGGTGGTTTTAATAGTTATGGCCCCCACAGACTCATGTGTTTAAAGGCTTGGCCCATAAGGAGTAGCCCTATTAGGAGGTGTGGCCTTGTTGGAGTATGTGTGACCTTGTTGGAGGAAGTGTGTCACTGTGGAGGCAGACTTTGAGATGTCATATGCCCAAGCCACACCTAGTGTGACAGTTCACTTCCTGTTGCCTACGAATCAAGACGCAGAACTCTCAGCTCTTCTTCAGCACCATGTCCACCTGCACACTGCCTTGTCCCACCAGGATGATGATGGACTAAACCTCTGAAACTGTAAGCCAGCCCCAATTTAATATTTTCCTTTATAAAAGTTGATGTAGAAAGGTCATCTGTCTATGTGTACTTTCATTGGTAAATAAAGAAACTGCCCTGGCCTTTTGATAGGCTAGCCCTTAGGTAGGTGGAGGAGACTGAACAGAATTCTGGGAGGAAGAAAGCAGAGTTAGGCAGACACCATGCCTCTACTAATTATACAGTAGTATAGCAACATGTGACCTACCCGGTTGAGAAAGGTACCGAGCCATATGGCTAGCATAGATAAGAATAATGGGTTAATATAAGCTATAAGAACTAATATAAGCTATAAGAACTAATGATGGGCCAATCAGTTTATAATTAATACAGACTCTCTGTGTGATTTTCTTTGGGGCTTGCCAGCTATGGGGTACTGGATGGCACAGAAACCCCAATGAGCAGGCCCCTCATTGTTACAAAAAGTAGTCATGGTCATGATGTCTCTTAGCGGTAATAGAAACCCTGAGATAATGGAAAAAGCCCTATTTTGAGAAACCATGAGCGTTACATACTTTGAATACAGAACTGGAGACTGAAAGACCACAGAGGTGTTAGCCTCAAACATATTTTCTCCATTTTGAATTTATTTACTATGTGTGTGTGTATATACCTATGTATATGTATGTATATGATTAACTGATTAGATAGATAGATAGATAGATAGATTAGATAGGTAGACAGACAGACAGATATTCATTTTACTATTCTCTGTAGTTCTTATCAATGAATACAAAACAGGAATTCAGATATCTCCAGGGAAACAAAAGGATTCAAGGGCATGAAAAATAGGAAGTCTTGGGATTGGAAGGAACTTTACCACTACGGCAATTTTCAAATGTTCTTCCCTCAGGCTCCTGTGATAGCACACATATGTCTGTGCACGTATGCATGGATGTGTGCAAGGATGCACCATCTGTGCATGAATGACTGTGTGCATGAGGGGAGACTGAACAAGGAGGGCCTGACCTCTTTTCAATCAGGAAAAAAATATCTTCTTATTTATGGCTATTTTATAACATCATTTGATGTTTGAAATTGTTTAGGAACACAAAGGGACTAATTAGGAAGGGAAGCACCAGGAATGGGTGAGGGTGAGGGGAAGAAGGAGAGGAGGTATAGGAAGGAGAATCAATGAAAAATTCAAAGACAATCCTACAAGAAAACTCGTTATTTTAGATACTATTTCTAAAAACAAACTAACAAAAATTGTTCAGCAATCACTTCCTTAAGCTCTTTCATTTCCATGTTCTCTTGCAATTTTTCCTTCTCTGTTCATTCTTTGTCTCCCTTGATTGTTGAGTTATCACACATTCAAATATGAGAAAGACATTTTAGTAAATGTAAAGTTCAAACACATGATAGCTATTGTCAATACAAGGGTCAATGTGTTTACAACAAGGCCCAGCAAGCAGGGAGGACACATGACAGAATGATAAATAGGAATTAGTGGGGTGAAGAAAAGTAGTGTTCAGAGACAGACAGGAATCGGTGTTTTACATAGGGAGAGTCGGAATCAGTGAACAGAAGTCTTCTGGCAGAGAAGACAGTGGACTCCAAACTTGTGGAGAACCCCTTGTGTGGCGACCAAAACAGCAGAAAAGACAAACACTGATCTACAGACCAAAACTAGTATAGGTGCTAGATCTCCATCCAGAATAGAGTTTTTATTTGGCTTGGTGTGTGTGTGTGTGTGTGTGTGTGTGTGTGTGTGTTGATTGGTTGATTTTTGAGACAGGACCTCATGTAGCCCAACCTAGGCTCAAATGTATTCTGTAGCTAAAGATACAGGATAACCTTGAAATCCTGATCCTCTTCTCTTCACTTCCCAAGTCCTAGACTCTGAGCACAGCCTGGAGTGGAGGAAGCCTTTGATGTGTCTTGTTGGAAAGGTCATCTACAACGAGAATCTCTTCATAGGTCTATCTGTATGTATGTGTCTGCCTGAGTGTCTGTCTGTCTGTCTCTCCCACAGAGCAGAACGCTCCTCAGCCTGGCTGCTGTTAGAAACACCACAGCTGTTGTTTACATGGCATTTTGCTTTGCCTTTACTATCAATGTCCAGGATTTCAAACCCCTAGCTCAGCTGATACCCTAGGTCTGGAGGGAACTCAGGCAGCGGTTTCCTCTCTCGGCCTCTCCACCTCACGCTTCTGCATGTTCTCTAGTAAGAGCCTTTTGTGCCCAAAACAATGGGCATTAAGTTGCATATATGCAGCGTGTCTGATTCTAGAATGTGCTTCTCCAGTGCTTAGAATGGAAAGCAGCTGGGTAAAGAAAAGAACATTTCTTGGGATGTATTGGAAGAAAGTATATTACAGACAGTCGCCATGACCTAGATTAATCAGAGAAAATTTAAGTGGAAGAAAACACCTTCTGCTGGATTCCTGTAAGAGCATTTAAGGCGGAAGGAAGGATGCCGTTTCTGTGAACTCAGAACAGACAGGCAAGGCTGAGAATAGTTTCAATGTATCAGACCAATTAAGAGTGTGTTTTAATTCAAGCCCAATCCACGTCAGCCTTCAGCAACAGTCAGGTATTACTCACAGGTGAAGGATGTTGCTGAAATGGCAGAGTTCACTAGAACAGACATTTTACACTCAGAACTAGAAAGGAGCCTTACGTGAGCGGATGGAGAAACACCAGACCATTCCTGCTGCTCTAGCGCCATCGCGTGGCCACAGACAAAATGACAGGCACTTTGCAGCCTCACAAAACTCAGGGTTCACAGAGAAAGGGGTTTGGTAATGTATTCTTCTTCTGTTGAATATACACATTATCACGTAAAAACAAACACGTCAAACACTTCACTAAGAGCATGAGACCACCATCAGGTTAACAGATATTTGAATCCCAATAAAGGTTAGGGTACAGCTAGGCAACTCTGGAACTCTATAGAAGGGATGACAAGGGGACACATGCAGAATTACTCTTTCTTAAATGAATCACAGATACTTTCTGCTGAGTTATCTGAAAAGTCTAAGAAGCAGGGAAAAATCCAGTTTTCAACTTTTTCCACATAGAAACTTGCCTAGAAATGCATGAATATGCATACATGGGGTGATGGATTCTGTATCTCTGTGTGTCTGTGTGTGTGGTGTGTGTGCAGGGACACACATTTGTTTAGGCATGTGTGCACACCAAATGTCAATGTTGGTGTCTTCCTCTGCCACCTTATTTGGGGGACCAGGATCTTTCAGAAGCTGGAGTCGAAGCTCCTGGGTGTTCCTGTCTCCAGTTCCCGATGCTGGGGTTATGGCTCTGCCATAGCCGTGGATGCTGAGAATCCAAACTCAGGACTTCAGGCTTGTATAGCAAACACTTCACCCTCTAAGTCCCTCAACCACTAGAAGTAAACTCCCGATAGGCGAACTTTTAAATACCTCACCCACCAGTAATAATGTTTGTGCAGCCAGCTTTAAGGACCATGGAAGCAGAAGCTTGTGACCAGTCCTTAAGTTACAGTTAAGATCACTGCTGGCCCAGTAGTTTTCCTCTCCTCTCACAGTGACCTGTCGCTGTCTTTGGCTGGTGTTTTCCCTTCAAGATACTGTCCTCTTACAGTTTTCCCTAAGAGTGGGAAAGTAGTCATGAAGTGTAAAGCGGTGGACTGCTAGATAGCGAGTCTGTAGTCCAGTGCACTCTGGGATATGTATGGTATCGTGTGTTGTTCAAAATGTTATCCTTAACACTTAGCACGCCTGGGGCACGGCAAGAACACAACAACGGGCTTGGGAAATGACTCCATGTGTAGAGTGCTTGTCATATAAGCGTGAAGAGCAGAGTTCAGATCCTCAGGACCCATGTAAACACACTGGGTGGTCAGCCCATTTGAGGCAAGGATAATGAATTCCCTAAGGCAAACTGGCTAGCTAGAGAAGCAAATTGGAGAGTTATGAGTCCAAGTGAGAAACTCAGCCTCAGTGCCAAAGGTAGGGAAGGATTGAGGAAAACACTGACGTCAACTTCTGGCCTACAAACACACACACACACACACACACACACACACACAAACATCTGCCCGTCCACACACATATGAATATGCTTGCACGCACACATACACATGAATGTGTAACCTTACAAATCTGCTCATATATGTAAAAATGCAAATACACACAAATATATTTGCAGAGAAAAAATAAATAAGGAAGAAAGAAAATATTCAACATCAACAACAAAAATGTAGGCATAGTGCCATGTGACCATGACTCTAACACTCAGGTGGAAGACAAAAGGATGAAGGGTAAGTCCCTCCTCATCTACACAGCACTTCAAGGGACAGCCTAGGTTACAAGAGACCTTTCCTCAAAAGGAAGAGGGCATAAAGAAAAAAATGAGGAAGGAAGGAATAAAAGAATTTTTTGCTTTTATTTTTATACAATATATTTGTTGATGTTTCCCCCTAACTCCTCCCAGAACCTTACTACATCCCCCCAACTTCCTGTTCTCTCTCTAAAAAGAAACAAGTAAACAAAAGACAGACAGAAAGACAGGAATAAAGACAGAAAGAAATAAGGGAAGGAGAGAGAGAGAGGGGAAAGAAGGAAGATGAAAATCAAACAAAAAAAAAACAATTTAAAAAAATGCCAAAATGCGAAGCCCACCAAAAACCATGGAGTTTCTTTTTGCACTGGCTAACTACTCGTGGTTGAAGGGCACTCCACGGAAGAAAATTGTGGGTTTTTTTCCTTTCCCACCTGATATCAGTTTAAAAAAAAATAGCTTCAGAAGAGGGGCCAGGTTGAGAGCAAGAAGTAGAAGAGGCCCCAGGCCTGACCAAAAATAATAGATGTTAAACAATCTCTTTAGCAGACATTTTATTAGCTGTCTGCAAAGACTGCAAATCTGCTTTGGGAAGAGTGTGAGAAGAGTGGGCTATGAGCCAGTGAGTGATTTAGACTGATGTTTTAAACCCACAAAGAAGGAGCAGTGTGGCAGTGTTACCTGATATCCCCAGATCACAGACTGCTAAATTGATAGTCATTATTTCAGCAGGTCTCAGTTTCTTCTTGCGTCTAGAAGACATATAAAGGACATACCCATTTCCGAATGCCGAGAGAATCCCTACAAAGAAAAACAAAATTTCCCATCATTAGAATGAGGGTCAGCACTCCCTTGCATATAACACATTTCTCAATTTCAAAAATGGACACCACAGATTCAGAGGGTAATGAGAGGCCTCTAAATAAAAAATCTAAATTAAGAAGATGAAATAAAAGGCATGAATTGTGAGTGACAGGCAAGGGATGGGTTGCCTCCGAAGGAATAGGAGTCAGGGATTGCAGGACTGAACTTACCCAGACAACGGAACGGCTAACTCCCCGGTTAGGCTCAGGAGGATGTGGGGATCCCAATGGTCAGTTCTTGTACTGGCCCCCAGGGTAGAGTGTTTTCCTTAGCCATTTTTATAAAGTATTGGCTTTGTAAGATCCCCTTTCTTAGAGAAGTGGGATCAACCCCTTAACTGTTTATAAGTCCTGAAGGTAAAGTCAACCCAAGGGGGTGACTTCTGTGCCACTGTGAGCTCCCAAAGGAGCGCCAGCATGTGGGAAAGGTGTGGTCAGAGGTGGCTGTTGTGAACCCCTGGCAAGGGAGGGGTCATCTCTTGGACACAAGCCCCAGGACTTAGACTCCTGAGGTGGTATCTGGAAGTCGGGATGCCTTCAGCTACCGCTGGACTAGGTGTCGAGGGTAAGTGTGTGACAGCTGACAACATGGGCACTCCCCCTCCCACCAAGGGGAGAGAAAGTGACCCTCAACCCACCAGACCTAACAACAACAACAACATACATGTGTTCCCAAGTTTGAATACTCTCTTATTAACGACAAGTTGGTTTGGGTAGCAAAATGAAACTGTTCCAAAGTTCTTACAAACCCAGTTAAAATCCAAAAACACAAAAAAGACCCATTATCTACTGACTGTATTTAAGAAAAGAATACACCTACTTCCATAGCTTAACATGTAGAGTAGATTTCCTCAGGAATTCTTGCTTCATAGTGTGGCTGTGTATAAATGAGAGTCTGGTACAGCTGCCTTCAGTAGTAAGGAATAAGGAAAGCATTAAAGGAGAGGCCCAGAGTTGTCTACTTTAATTTCTATTTTAATTTCTCCACCACAATTCATTTGGGGGCAAGGAAAAAAATGTGTGTCTCTGCTGATGGCATGAAACCACCAGGACCTGCCTGCATTGTGCTTCTAGGAGATGCTGACTCTCTGGAGTCACAGATGCTTAATGGTCCATGAAAGCCTCTTTAGCTTTCTTAAAGCAAAAGGGACGAAAAATTGAAGAAATTGTATAGTCCTAAAGCAAGGCAGATCAAAGGCAACGCCTGTCTCCTAATAAGAAACCATCTAGCAAGGCACACTGGGAAAGGAAAATACAAAAATGGAGCTCTAGAACAATAAAATAAATTCCATCCATTTCATATCCAAAAAAGAGTAAAAAATAATTAAGTATTCACACACAGTCAATTTAAAAGGCTTGTCTCACACTCTTTCACCTGCCCGCATCTCTTGAGAATATTTCTTACTGTGTTTCCTTACACTTTTACTTAACCCTATTTCATAGGGTTTTTTACCCAGTGCCCATCGTGATTTAAAAAATAAAGAATTCTATTAAGTGCCATGTTCCATTGTTTCCACAAGCAACCTTGTCTGCAAATGAACTTTAAGAGAAACTGATCTATTTTTAACACTAAGGAAAACAAGATCAAGACAATGGAGACTATGAGCCAGTCGTTTTTTGGATCCTCAAAATCCTGTATCCTTTGCAGACAAGAAGGATGAGGAGCCTTCCTCTCCAGGATGTCAATCAGGCAGGTGTTAATGTGGAAGAGTGGGGAGTGGAAAATGGGTCTCGCGTTTATTTCTCACGCATGCCAGACTTGCGCTTCTATTTCCATTCTTCAGTTTCCCCTAGATTCCTAGTATTTAACAAGAATGTTGCCCTGTCTGCTTTGGCACCTTAAAAAGGACCTACACATGTGACGATCAGACATGGAGCCAAGTCAAAGACATGGGTCTAGAAAGAGTCCCAGGCCCTCCATTGTCATCCAAACCTACCCTTCTCCCCTCATCCCAGATGATTGTCTGGGACTTCAATTTCCCTCCCTGATTTACCTGACACTCCCTCTGCTTGGGGGATTCTTCATTCAACATCTAATTTCTAAGCTCGACTCAAGAATTTAAATCTGACTTTGATTCCCTTGAACCTAACATGCATAAAGTGAGAACGTCTCTCATCGTCCCACCGATGCTATTGGTCTCTCCTGCTAAAAATCCTTCAACTTAGAAAGAATGGGCTAATAGTTCTCCCGCTGCTACACTGCCGAGAGCCATTTCTCTGGCTGAAGATACTATTTTCAAATCATCCCTTGCAACTGACTGGGTTTATGAAGTGCTTGCTCGTCTGCCTTTTCCAATCACTGAGTTTAATAAAATCGTGATGTGATGTGGACTTACTCTGAGGGAGTCTGTATTCCAGCAAAGGGCTTTTAGTTACTGCTCTGTTCCCAGCCATTTATGGGTAGCAAAGAGTAGGTACTTTATATATTTGTGTTTGAAAGGACAAATTTAAATTAAATGAAAAGTAGCCAAATGCTCACAGTAAGTACAAGGACCCTGGGAATTATTTGGCAATAGAGCACTTCTTTTTTAATATCACGAATTCTTTCCGCCTCAAGCACTGACCATAGAGGGATCTTGAGAACTTTCTAATGGGTTTTTCTAATTTCAGGAATTACATGAAATTCTTCGCCAGTCATAGACAGATGAGAAAAGGGAGAGGAGAGGGGAGGGAGGGATAGTGGAAGGAACAGAGAGAGGAGAGAGAAAGAGAGGTTGATAAACCAGGCTTGAACCAACACCTGAAAATATTAAAGGCATATAAACCTAAAGATGGAAGCTCACCACATGCCCAAACTTAATGTAGCAATTTTAAATTAAATAAATGTTGTAAATATTTGTTTTAAAAAAAACAGGGTATCACTATGCAATTCTGGCTGGCCTGGAACTGTTCTATATAGACCAGATTGGCATCAACCTCACAGAGATCTGCCTGCCTGTGCTTCCCAGATGCTGGCATTAAAGATATGTGCCACCATGCCCAGCCAAATGTTATAAAACTTTATTTTCTGCATTAGTACAATCCAATATAAATATAATGTAAATCAGGAAGAAGAGCTACACATACACTTTAATTTTTTCTGGTAGCCACATTAAGCAACATAAAAACACACAAACAAATTAGTTTTGACAATTTAATATTTAATCTAATCCAGGAATTATGAGTTCAACAGGTACTTTATGTTTCAAATATTTGTGCATTATTTTCCCAGTACTAAGCCTCCAATAGGAGGCATGAATTTTCATTACAATATGCTCATTTGAAAGATAACTGTTTGTGTGCCCAGGAGCCACGGGGGTTGCTGGATGATAATACAGTCTAACATCAGACAGAAGCAACCCTGTGGGAGTTATACACCAAAATCTTTTCACCCTAGATTTGTTTCCACTGATCATCAATGTAATTTTTGTCTTAGCAGCGTCGATAAGGTGCAACATCTAAGGCAGTGTCTACTGTCAATGCTGTCCGGGGCCACAGTTTCCTGGGTTGTGAGAAGAAGAATCTGGAACACTTGGCCAGCAAATGGTCTAAGGGCCATTCTTTCAGGACAGAAATATATTCATTATCACTCTTTTAATATTCACAAAGCAAAGATACTAGTTGAGCAACCAAAATGAAACAATCTCTAGATAAAGAATTCACTGTGAAAGTTCTTTGGATTATCAGTGGAATATTTATCCCTAATGACAGTAACAGTTGTTTTTATGAAACCTTGATTGACTGCCGTTATGCCTACCCACCTTTCCCCACCTCCACCAATCCCCATGTAAGTATCAGAACTGTTTGTGCAAAATCAGCCCAGCCCTGTGACTTCTCTCAATGCAGCCTCTGACACAGAAACGTTATGGAAGCTTACCTATGATTGTTAGGTAAAAGCCAGCCACTAAATCCGCTTCCCAGGAAAGTTTGGAAGCAAAGGGGTCCTCATCTCGAAGATAGTGTGGCAGGCGCTCGTCCTGGGGTGGGGCAGTTTGGTTTAAGGCCATGCTGTCCGCACACCACCGGGGTCTGTAAAGCAAATCAGCAGAGATCTCAACAGATGGAACAGTAAGTCCCTTTGGATCCGCTCACAGACGCTCTGCTTCCTGTACAACAAAAGGTGCACTCCGGGGGCCCCATGGGGGATTAGTGCCCAGGGAGAAAAAGTTCAGCGCCTTTCTTTAATGACGTAAATGCACCAACACTCGGTTGTTCAATTTGCAGTCTGGGCAAGGCTGCATCTTCTCCTCAGGCTTCCTCTGAGCCTTTTCACACCTCCGAAGACTAGCTTGTCCTATCGCTCTTTTGCAAACTTTATAAAGCCCTGAACTAAGAAAAGCCACTGTGTGAAATGCGGGCACGGTGTACACTGTCTGGTTTGTCCAGCGTCTGAGATAGCCCTATCTTCTCCACTCCCTACAGGGTCGGTGAGCTGCAGAATTCTGCTAAGCGGAAAAAACGGGCATTCAGTGCAAAGGAACCTAGGCGCTTCTCTAAATGAAGCTAAGAGGTCAGAGATTGACAGGGTTAACCTGAAAGTTGAGGCTGTTCATGAATGGCTCAGAGATGTGCCCACCTCCATCCACAGCTAAGCGGTTGATGGCTGCTAAGAGAAGGAAAGTCAGTCTTCTTTGGGGATGTGGCCACATGGTCTAGCAGGTTGCCCTGCACCCAACACAAATTAGACTCAGTGTGTTATTTTTAAAAAAGTGGAATCAAGAGGTGGGGGTGATCTGGCAAGAGTTGGAGTGGAATTGAAAGAATTATATATGTACATGAAATTCTCAAAGAATAAATGTAAAAAAAACGTATTAAAAAATTAATGGCTGGAATGCTGGTTCAGTAGTTAAGCACACACAGTACACTTATAGGGAACCCAAGTTTGGTTCCCAGAACTCCGATTCAGTAACTCAGAGTCACCTGTGTCTCAGCTCCAGGAAGATCTGGTACCTCTGACCATGGGCATTAGCACTTACACACACACACACGCACAGATACACGCACACAATCACACACATTCATTCACACAGAGGCAATAATGCACACACACATACTTACACACATACATGCACAAAATCATACATTCATTCACACAAAGATTCACATGCAGAAACATTAACACACACATACATGCATACACATACACACACACACACACACACACACAAAGACATGTTTATGTACCTACACATACATACATACATTCAGACATACAGAGTCACAATCACACATATTTGGGTGATGGGGAACTCCTTTAGCCAATGGCCTTTGAGAGGTTAAACAGGTTGGGTGTGGCCTTGGGCACCAAAATGGTACACAGTGGCTTGCCCTCTGTGTGTGTGTGTGTGTGTGTGTGTGTGTGTGTGTGTGTGTGTGTGTCTCGCCTGGATGCTGTTCGGTTCCTGTTTTCTGGTCATACAGAGGGAGGACTAGGATCTATGAGTCCCCCTTAAATAAAGAACCCCTTATTTTACTTGATTCTCAGTTAGTGTGGGATTAATTTGTTTGCGTTCTCCTTCATATGGGTGTGCACATACACACACTCACACAGAGACACACACACTCGTACATATCCACATACACACGATCACACATTTAAGAATGAAATAAATCACAGGAAAAAAACTATGCCTGTTTAGAAAAGAACTGGGTTTAACTAAGAGACACAAAGTTCAGCCTTAGGAAGCTTTAGATTTTCCTAAAACAGAGAGCAGCTATCCAGGCACTCTCATTCAACCGCAGGATAAGACTCTGAGCAACGAGGACTCCCTCCAAAACACATAGAATTGTGTGTTATTTCTTCTGAATTTTGATTTTGAAAGGTTTGCCAAGAAAACCTGTAAGTGGCACTCAGAAACCTTAAGTCCCACGCTGCCCTCCCTGGAAAGGAGGGGTTGGCGCCTCTGGGAGGTGACCCACACTCTGAGATAAGGACAGTGGGGTGGGGAGTTCTTACTTCCTGGTATATAAAGGAGGGGTTGGCACCTCTGGGAAGTGACCCACACTCTGAGATAAGGACAGTGGGGCGGTGGGGGGGGGTCTTACTTCCTGGTATATAAAGGAGGGGTTGGCACCTCTGGGAAGTGACCCACACTCTGAGATAGGGACAGTGGGGCAGTGGGGGATTTCTTACTTCCTGGTATATAAAGAGGAGAAATGCATCTTCCAAGGGTTCGCTTCAGAGCTAGCTCATTTCACACTGAGCCAGTATGTGTCACTGCTCTGCCCTCTGAGACAGTAGACAGCTAATGTCAGCCTCACAGAGGGCGACCAGCAATCAGGAGATGTCACAGGGTATTTTCGGTTTCTGCAGAAGGACAGATCCAAACTCTTTCTGACAGACAGTTTACAGCCCACACAGGGCTTTTCCGTGAGAACTGGCATGTGACAGACGTACTGAAGTTTGAGGACACTCTATTTGTTAATATCCGTTCCCCTTCCCTCCAGTAGCTACAGAGGGCTGGACCGGAAACCCTGGCTGCCAGGTCCACTCCATCTCCAGCCCTGACCAAGCCGAAGGTTTTCCTCTTATCTGTCAAGCTCCTGACTGCCCTCTCTCTGGTAAAGCCTTTCCGCACAAGCTCCCAGGCCCTCTGCTGTCCAGTCCCTTAGATTCAGACACATAAGATGCAGGCTGTAAGATCTGGCACTCACCCTCCCATCTTAAGCACATCCTTAAATACTGATCTAAGGCAACTTGTGGAAAAACCACATCTGACGTATCTCTCACGCTCACAATCAATGAGATAGTGGATTTTTATTTTCTGTTGGCCATTTTCCCCAATGTGTGTGATTGCCATGGTTACACTGCACTCTTGCTTGTGTGGGGCATACACGTGGAAGCCTGAGGCTGATGTTAACAACCGTACACAATCTTTCTTACATTGTTGTCAATCAAACCTAGAGCATGCATGGATCACTCTTGCTAGTCCATCCCTCTGTGTCCCTGTCTCTTGCTAGTCCATCCCTCTGTGTCCCCATCTCTGCCTCCCAAGGCTGCAGTTCCACCATACCCACCTGATATTTTCTGTGTATTTCTGCTGAAATATGCAAACTCTGGTCTTCACACATGTAGGGTGTGTTAATTTAGGTGCTAAGCCAATCCCTTAGCCCTAACCAATAAATTTACAAACAAATTATACACCTAGAGGCCAGAAGCCCTATCCAATTTTTACACACCAGGGTACTTACTTTTACCCAAACTTACAAATATTTGATTATTCACATTAGCATAAGCCTTTTAGCAATAAAATATACTCTACTGCTCCCACTGCATAGCCAGTAATTGTTTGACCATAAATAAGGCCACCCAAGGCTTTCTCATAACAGTTCCCACACACACAAAGTCAGAATCACCTCCCACTCCTAATCATACACACAAATTTTAAATAGCTCTTGAGTCTTATAATACATGTGACACTATAGATATATCTTCTATCATCTGTGGATCCATATTAGAAAGTAAGTGATAACTCAAGGCATAGCCAGGCCCAAGTCCTCATGTCTAAGCAGAAGGTACTTGTAAAATGGCTTGGTGGCAGATACGGGAAAGGATATTTTACAAGGTCAAGCGAACACACACAAGTTAGTACTCAGGAAAAGAGCATAACCCGTCCAGTTTTGCTGAAGGGCAAACTGCCTAAAAATATAAAAATGTTACATGAGACATTTTCCTCTGGCTCTCTAAATTTTTTATAGTTTAAAAATAAGAAATAACAAAGGTCCTAGGTAGTGTGGACAGTGTGCACACATAAACACTGTGCACAAATTTCTGGCCTCCGATTGTCTTGCCCGTGACCTACTCTGGCTCCATGAACTTTTGGCTCTGTGTGTGTATGTGTGTGTTCCATGTGTGTGTCCCTGTGTGTTGTCCGTGTGTGTCTGTGTGTGTTTATGAATGTGTGTGAGTGTCTGTGTGTGTGTGTGTGATGAGAAAAATTCCTTCTGGTGAAAAATTCCTATCTGAGAACATGAGATTCAAAATTCCTATCTGAGAACATGAGATTCAATCCATCAGCACCTGTGAAAATTTTGCCCTAAGGAGCCTGTGAAGCTAATGACAGACACCTACCATTGAGACAAGAGACATGATACAGGTTATGTAGTCATGGATGAGGGAATTGTAAATAATGCTATGGAAGTCTAAACAACGAAGCCCATTAAAGAAAGATGATCAGTCAAACTTGAAATAGCCAAGCCAGGAGCAGAATTTGCTGAGTGCTTAGCCTGATTCAGATGTCACGTTGCTGGTCTGTACAGGTCTTTTAAGTGAGGCCTACTTTTTCCTTTTATCTAGACAACAAAAAAATCAAGGTCATCATTACATAAACTCCAAAAATTCAAGCCCAACCTAGCAGGTCAGAAGCGATCACCTTTTCCTTTCCCCAACCCCAGTGAGTCAGCCAGTATGGGTCAGGATTGCACAGGACCTAGCTTAGTAAAGACCTGGGAGAATGCAGCTCGGCTTGAACTCCTTGAACTCCTACTCTGTCTCCTCTCCCCTCCTACTTCAATCTGGGTCTTCCCCTATTGCGCCATCACAGTGGAATCTAACTCTTACCATTAAAAAGTGAGCTGGAAAATTCTATTGTCATAGTAACAGAGGAAATGCTATTACAACTTAGGAGAAAATGTTATGTACCAATAAATATTTTAAATGAAGAAAAACATAGGGAAACAATAGAGGAATTCATGCTTCAAGGACTAGAATTGATTCACATTTTATACACATATATTGGTATACACATATATTTTGTATATATATAAACATATACACATGCATGTAGCATAGTTATGATATGCAGCTTACATTATATGCAGCTTACAAATTTATCATATGCAGCTTTTCATTTCATTTGATGAGGAAGGTTCTTAATGATACCCATAATTCTCAGATAACTGCCAATAGTATGTCACTTTTTTGAGAGATTGATTGTGCAAATTTTAACATAAGATCTGTTAGTGGTTATTTTAGAAAAACATTCAAACCATCAATTTATTCATTCAT